GCCAAAGGAAAAAGTCGTAGAAGTGCCCCAATTGGTTATTGTAGTTCGTTCGAAAGCGAAACGGAAGTAGTTACACAGGAAAGTGGTGAATCAGAAATTGAAGTAGACCGTTCCGAAATTTGTGCAGAATGTGGTGGATATTATTTCAACAAAGGGGTCCCAAATGCGAGTAGATACAATGTACGGGGTGATCAGTCTGGGTCTATGAAATCTGCACAAGATCTGACTTATTCTGCGAGGATTGTATCCCAGTCATCACCTGGCAAACGATATGAAATGAAATTATTGAATATTTATTTTTTATTTTAGTTCAGGATTCTTTTTGTTATCTATTTAGTATATTTCAACTTATTTCAGGTTATATTTGGTTTCAGACTAGGTTTATTTATTTATTGATATGTAGAAGAACATTTCTTTAAAAACATATTTTTTATGTTTTTTTCATAAATTATATAGAATCCTTATGTGAATCAAGTAAGACTTATTGTACAACCAGAGATGCTATCATTTTGAAAATATTCAGTAGAATTACTTGCATCAGCTATATTATAAACTCGATTTATCATATCATTAATCATAACTGTTTTACGACCACATTTCAGTAATATATCGCTGCAATACTTGGGACACCCAGTATTATTTCAATTAAATGAATAAAACAAGTCTGTAGCCTTAGTCGTTCCACTACTCCTAGCAGCTGATAAGACGAATCTATATATCTAGGCAATAATGAGCGAGTTTTCCTAATAATTCTTGTATCAAAGTCTTAATGAGCCATCCTGACTCAGCCTTCCTTCCCTCCTAAGTCAAAAGGTATTATGTTTATGTAGTATTATCATCATATGAGTCAGTATTTAGTTTATAAAGAAACCGCATTTAAAAAAACGAAGCACACTCTTATTTCAATGACGTAGTTATCGATTTAATGTCAGCTTACTATGAGCATCTACAAGATACTAAATAGTATTCAAAACGTCGTATCGTCCTCGGTATCTTTATGTTAGCTGGGAGGGTTTGTTTATAATACATTCAAGCATAAGACCGTAAGTCGTGTGCTCTTATCGCTCGACATCAACAAAGATCCTGGTCCCCACTTGATTTCTGCAATTGCATTGAAGAGGTATGCAGCGGAGCTTGCTCCAGTTCTTTCGCGTCTTTTCCAGATATTTTACGAATCCGGCACCCACGAAACTGGAAATTTGCTCATGTCCAACCCATCGCAAAAAAGGGATCTGAGACCGACCCTCTTCATCCCACAACGTCAACGCGGGTGTTCCCCAGGGATCGGTCTTGGCTACTCTTCATATCAACGACCCCCCTTCCTGACAGCTGTGCTGATGGCAGGAACATGCAGGAATTTAAAGCCGGTGAGCTAAAAAAAAAAAAGACTAGCAGCGGCTTCCTTTCTGACGAGAGACCTGGAGGTTATCACTGCATGGGGCCCCAACAATCTTGTACATTTTAATCGGTGACTTTTTTCTAGCAGACTGTCTCTGGACTCTTGGGCACCGGCGGGTCGCCAGCGATCAAGCTCTCGTCTACCGCTACAACGACGGGCTTGGCTCCTTAGAGCTTTTCATGCTGCCGCCGCGCGATGTGCCTGCCAGATAGACCCGCCTGACTTCGGCCACCGTGTCGAACTTCGTACATCCAAAACTGGCCAATGCGACCGCTCCTTTGTCCAGAGGGTGTCGAGATTGTGGAACAAAATCCAGAAGAGGAGTGTTTTTAGCGATCTACTAACCTTAGGCAGTTAAAAAATCGGATTAGCAAGATTTGTTTGCGATCCTCATAGCAACCGCCATGTTCTGACATTTAGGCTTCTGCCTGCGTGGCTACTTTAGTGTAAAAAATGGGTAGACACAGTAGAAGGCCCAGACAAGCCCGAGTGCTGCAAGTTAAAAAAGAACTAAACAAACTCGTGTTTTCAAATCGAATTGCAGCAACTTTACAAGTAGTGCTTACATATATGTGATAGGGCGGTACTTGAAATTCCATACCAAATAAATACTGTGGATCTATCTTAAATTTGTTGTTTACGTTTTTTATTCGATTTTACCACAAACTAGCTTTGTTATTTTTACGTAGTTGTTTCTAAAGAGGAAAACGCCGACGCCATGACACCGTGTATATAGGTATTTAGACGCATGCTTAGAAAGTAGGTGACAGAAGATGGCTATTTTTGAATCCGATAAGTCAGCACATCTGCATCCCCGGTTGAAAGATCACGCGGTCTCGAATTCTCACCTCGACCTTATTTCCATTCAAACGTTGGTTTTCTCTACTTGTTGTCGTTCGTAAGGGTGTCACGTAACGATCTGATGCGACAGAATCCCAAAAACAGTCTCCAAAAGAGACCAAAGAGTTTTCGCGGCAATCGAACGTTCCGTAAAAATCACAAAGGGTCCGGATTCTATTAACAATTTAATGGAAAAATAATAGCAGACATTTCGAAAGCACGTAGTCAGGTGAGATAGTAATCTAAAAAGTCGAAGAGCAAAAGGTCGATTTTGTGAGGAAACGGTATGGAGAAACAGTTTTTTATCCTTTTTATAGGCAAACAGCTGACGAAGATAAATTCCAGGAACTGATACTAGTAAGCTGTTTGGCGGAGGCCTTAGTATTCAAGCCAAAGAGTTACTGACTACTAGGGTCTGTCATAAAGTCATATCTTGGATGCAGTCAGCAGCAAGTGACTCTGGGCACAAGCTTCTCTAATTTACACAATGTTCCTTCAGTAGTACTGCATCGTCTGCTTCCAAGACTCACGTTGTCCCTGATATATTCATATTCTTTTGATTTGGTCATCAAAATCAACTGCTGCCAACACGACAATACACCTCCAGCGTATTCTCAGATTTGGCGCTGTGCCACTTTTTTTCCAATCTTGAAAAAGTCACTGGCCGGGCAGACATTTTAGCCTACTTTGCTGACCCCCAGAAAACGTATTTTCCAGACGAGTTTAAGGAGTTGGAGCATCGCTAGGTCAAGTGTGTCGAGCTAAAAAGATACTTATATTGAGAAATAAATCGCCACTTTTCCAAATCTTTCGTGTTTCCTTTGTAGGCTAATTACTTATCGAACCATCCTCGTAGTTATGGCTGGCCCCTGTAGCTATGTTGATTGATACCTTGTAAAAACGAGGTTTGCTGCTGGCTCTTGATGGTGTTTTCTAGTTGTATTTCCCTTTTCCCTCTCCATCCTTGTTCCCCTTCAAGTTACACCCGTATCTAGATGTGATGGACATATGTTTTCACTTCGGTGTGTTGTACGCACATCCGTTTGGGTCTGGTGCAGCCAATAAGTAGAAACGTACGTCGCTCGGGTTACCAATCCTATTTCTGCTGCTGTTCCTTTATCGCTGACATTATCACAATTGTCCTTTGCTTTTTATTTGTTTTACTGACAACTAGTTCATTAAATAAGTATCTGCAAAGTGGTTGGGGAAGGAGAGCACGGACCAAACCTATCTAGGTAGCTAGTAAAGTGATATCCTTACAACGGCCAAAAGCAGCAATAGCGAACCTCTGCACACTTTCATACTAGAGCGGCCATAAATACACAGATTTATCCTTTTTCATTGTATTTTTAACCTTAAAATACAGTTGTACAAACATGAAAGTACAGTTTGTAAAATTCTTTATTCGGAAAAAAAATGCTAAGTCGGTACTAAAAATGTTTCTTAGTATTTTTGTATCAGATATTTTTTTTTAGATCATAGGGCAAACAAGGTATATATTGAAAAAAATTATAAATTCTAATACTTATAATAAATAATAATGGAAATATTTAACTTAACAAATAAAATACAGATATTGACAATGTCTTTTTTTAACAGGTACCTTTCCTAAAGCACTACCCTCCTTAGAGTACCAAATATGAAAAATAGTCCTCCTCGAAACAGAATACTTAAAAAAATTACCTAAAACAACAACAAAATTGGATATGGAAAGCCCCTCCCCTTTTCTGTCCTATGAACATAATATGGTTCGGTACCTCACAAAACTAAGAAGGGGCGGCAAGATGAAGATGTAACTTACATGCCCCTAATTTAGATATTCTCTACTTTAAGATAACATTTATCTCAGCTGCAGCAAAGCGCAGCTAAAAGTTCATAACTCGAAATGAATTAATTTTGTAGGAAAAGAATCTAGCAAAAACTACTTTCAATAAAAAGTTGTCGGGAAGCTGTCACTTGCGATCGACGGAAGTAGATAACAGTTTGAACTAATTGCATTGTTATTCATATTTTTTAAAATCCTCGCACCTACTCGATATCTTAGCGACTCGTTTAGACCGTTATAGACTCATGAGTTTTTGGGATGTTTGGCCTATGGAGGAATCACTGTGCACTGTACTGTAACACATCATCGCTGTTTGCCTTATAATGCACATTTCCTTATATACTTCAGTTTGTTTTGGATAATTTATGTGACAAGGAATTGTTGCAAATATTTGAGAGAGACCTTGAATTGAAATATGGATTATTTTTTGTTTTTATGGTGATTTTGATTTATGGCTTCTTTCCAAGTAGTAGGCATCGAAGTTTCAAGAAATTGTTATTAAAGATATGGTGAAAATAGCTAACGTTTAACATCGTTACATAAATTTATATAACATGAAATTTCTAGATTTCTTTTTTCCAAAAAGTCATATCCATCAAGGAAAGGAGCTTATTGCGCTATCAAAATGGCAGCACGCACATCCACACTTAACGTGCTTAGCAACAACGGAACTGGACAGCGCAAGGGCAATACTTAAATTCATATCGAGCAGTCGAGTTAGGCCTAGGTACACCTGTGGATTCAACTTCATTGTCGCTAAATATTTCATAATCCAATTGTAATGTTGAAATGCTGCCGCTGAAGCGTTATAATATCAGTTCTTTTATAAAATTGTGAGAGCTGTTGGCTGGAATATTTTCAAAATGGTGGTACTTCCGTTTACATTGGAGGTCGATAGCAACTTGCTTGTGTCAAATGGCACACCCTATATCAATCGTTGGATTCTATGGACCGTGTCCTTGAATTTTCAAGCAGTTCATAAAAAAACTAGAAAATAATTTTGGTGCATTTATTGTGGAATCAGTATTTAAAATGTACAACTTTATTTTACTTAGTGACCAAATATCTGTACGAGGTATCTGAATCCATTTCCCCATTTTGAGTAGATCTTGATTTTGACATATTGTCTACCAATACCACCGTCCACTATTTCTGCTCTAGCCGTGTTCCCGTCGTAGAATTTGTTGTAGCATCGGATGGCCGTGATGGTTTCATGTCGGTTATAGCCCGCAGGCAGATCCTTGGGGTACTCCACTATTTTCTCTCTGGAGCCCCACCATCGGCTAGTCTTGAAATATTCCTGTCACAAGAGATTCAAATATTATGGTTAACCACACGAATACAGAGTGAATCAAAATACGATATGATTACTTTAGGCCAGAGGTAATGTTGGAAAGCAGACATATTTCACCGAACAAAGAAATATATTTGAAGACCAATGTTTGAAGGGCCGTATCGTTTGTCGTTACCACACTTATGAATGCCTTTATGGCCTCCTTGATTTTCATAGTGTTTTCTCTCCTTCAGAAAGGCTGAGGTATCTCCAGATTTCTACTGTTCCGTGTAAGCGTCAGAGTTCTCCTATTGTGAGGTTATGTTTCCGTTTTGAATTGAAAATTTAAAAGGAAAATATAGCCTCTTAATAGACCGCTTACACGAAGCAGTACAAATCTAGGAACACCCCTGCCTCTTTGAACAACGGGCAAAACTACGAAAATCAAGGAGGCCATAAATTCGTCCTACAATTATTGCAGGAACGAATAACGATACGGCGACTTTGAATAAAAGAAAGCCACGATAAAAACATTCAAATAGTAACAACTTGTGAAATACCGATGAAAATGTGACGTCTAATCAGAATGAAATTTCTTTTTGAGACTGCGAAAGCCGTTAAAGTAGATTGACTCACTACATCTTAAAATAACTACCAGTTATCTGAGAATAGTCGTCAAGTAGGTAGTTTAAATCTGTGCTTTCTACTTGATTCTTTTATTAACTGGACCTGTATCTAGCCTAACCGTCATATGAACTATGATAACAAAGGAAATCGATCAAGGCATGAGATACAGACCTGAGCTACTTGACACAAATTTTATTTAAAAGGCTCTAATGATTTCAAAATATGACCACGTGTATTCGCTTAATATCGATATGTGTTCCACCTGTTATATTCCAAAGACGTTTATTCTCATTGTATAGCGGAATTCTATATTTCTACGACTCAATTATAAAAAATGGCGTTAAGTAGGCTAATGCTATACTACCTACGCAACGCCGTTTGTAAGTTCATTAAGCCAACAGAAGTTAGAGTCCATAGACCGGATATCCTGGACAAAGGATAGTTGTTATGCTTTCATTGGTTGTCCTAGAGACCAAGCCTAGTCAAACAGGTCAGTAGGATTAGTTCACGCCCTTTCCCTGCCCTACCCATAGTACCGTAACCTCTCCCCAATTTCTGAAAGCATGATGCGTTACTAAGGTCAAAAAATTGCGATACACCCTTCTTTACCTATTATAACCCCAGCCCCAAACTTTGAACCGTTAAGAATTTTTCATGGCCTTTATATACATATATATATATATATATATATATATATATATATATATATATATATATATATAATGTCTATATAACATCCAAAGAAATTATTTTCGAAATTTCTTGGTCAGTTGGTGTGGGAAGTAATAAAGCTATTCTGTTTATTACCATGGCAAGTAACTATATAGGCAATTTGCTTAATATTATACACAATTCTTAATACTACAGGGATCAGGCATTTGCTGACACTAAAATATTCCCGCTGTACGCCTATGCCCTGCGCCGAAGTATGCCTGTGCCTTTAGCGGTAAGGCTTATCAATTTACTGTCATGGCGGGCTTTCTCACAAGGATTAGTTATCCAACTGACATGATTTGAGGTTAACAGCATTCTAATTTGTTCGATAGGTGCATAGCATTACCGAGATCAGAAACTTCTTAATAATACAATGTCTCAAATGAGCAGAAGTCTCCGTAATGTCAGAAAATGGGTGAAAGCTCTAGAGATTTTTTTCGTTTTTTTGTCCATTGCTCCACCGCCATTGGATCGACAGTGAAAACCTACAGTTTTTTAGTTTTTGGTAAAGCAGCAACCATATGTACAAATTTTATCAAAAGCGGGACTTTTGCAAGTTTTAAGGGGATCATGTATCAGCGGACCGACAGACATACAGACCCACGGAAATGTTTCTTATGTCCAATATTATATCTTACCTGATTGAACAACAATCTGTCGAAAGGCTGGATGGTTCCCACCCACAGATGACCATCTTGAGAAGAATTATAATCCCGCGAGTTGTTAGAGTTGTTGTAGCGGTAATTGACACTATTATAGTTGTAACCGTAAGAAGGGCTATTGACACCTGGTTTGGTGTAGTTGTAAGATGGTTGCGGATTCCAGTGGTTCCATCCAACTTGAGCGGGGGGAATCTGTGCTACCGGTGAGTTATATTGGTAGGATGGTTGATTATAAGGCGGTTGGGGATGGTTGTAGGATGGTTGTGGTTGGTTGTACACTGGCTGTGCTGGATATCTGGGGATCGTATGGTTGACTGTGGCTAGTGGAGTTCCGTTGAAGGTTGGTATCAGAATTTGGGCAGGTACATAGTGGACCTAGAACGACAAGTAAGAACAAATTAAAATGTGGAAAGTTTCTTTACCACTTCTACTGTTGAAATTAGCAAAACCTAATGCAAACTAAAAGAGCGTTAGATTTCTTCAGGCTTTCCGATCTAGGCTACTTTCAGATTAGGTCAGTTCTTAAATAATCTGATATAATAAAAGATCGTAATTGAGTAGGAACTGTGTCAGAATATCAGATCTTAGGAAAATAGTAATAATTTCATTTTAAGAGCAAAAATAGCTTGCCAATGTCATATGTGTGGAGTTGAATATTAATTTTGATTTAGAAATTTGACAGTATTAGTTTGAAACGTCGCTAAAATACTAAGTAGCACTACGCTTGGGAATCTTGCTAGTAAAACATTCTCTATTTCTAGAAATAGCACATACCGGGTATCAACGAAATCATTTTACAAGGCACTATTCAATTCCTGTTTAAAGAAGGACCTTGAAATTATGTGCGAAGATATGACTTATAAAAACTCAGATTATCCATTGGAAAACAACTGAATATCACTTACGGTTTGACCGGAAGTGAGTATGAAACCAGAATTTAAAATAGGATCCTGTATGTCTTTTTATTAATTAGCATAGAGCTTAAGATTTCCTTTTCAACGATTTGTCGTTCTTATTCAAAATAGCGGCATAAATGGCATTTATGCCAAATTCAGTAAGGTCGCGATTTGACAGTACCTATGGACTTTTTGCCAAACTACCCACTAATTTAAGAGGCAAAATGGATTCTCTTGCCGCTTCTACAATGAGTTTGCAAAACAAAAAAATTGTCATAATTTTGGGACCGTTTTTGTTTTTACTTAAAATGTCAAAAAGTATTTAAAATTTTCTCAGAATTTTGAACAGAAAAAGAAGCTTTCTAAATGCTAACGATAAAGAGCGTCTTATATGCGAAAGAAAAATGCTCAATAGCACGTTTCTTTTGTTTTTTATCTCTTACGATAACAAAAACAACAACGGAAATTAGCATAGTAAAAACTAAGTAACTAAATAACAAATAACAGATACATTACCAATTAAAAGTTAGGAAAAATCATTCAGTCATCAATAAGTGCTCTAAGCGTTTCCCACCGAGTTGTTGACATAACCCGACTCTCTTGATATTTTCTATAAGCAATTTTCGTAAATGTTCTTGAGATATGTTTTCATTGTCTGATCTAATTCTATTTTCCAGTACCCCTAGAGACGGTGGAGGAGTGGGATAAACTCTCTCTTAAATAGCCCCAAACTAAAAAATCCAGATGGGTTAAATCTGGCGACCTTGCAGGCCAATTTCCACCGATTCGCTCAGTTAAGTAATTAGTTACAACCCTAGAGATATAATCCCGCGGCGCGCCTCGAATACTTTGCATACACCATAAATAAGGGGCGTGTCGATTGGATGATTTCTTAAATAATTCAATATAATTTGTAGCAGTTAACCATTAAATTGATTTCAAATGAAATAAACTAACAAAATAAAAAAATATCAAGTACACAATAAGAGATGCTGACGCGTGGAAACGAGAATGATAGTTGACAGTAATTTTAAAGGCTTCCCCGTACATTTGTTTCCAAAGCATCTCAAGATCTCCGTGCAAACCAGTGAAATATTCGGCCCTGTTGATTATTTATTACAATTCTGGCTTTTTAAAATGAAGAAAAGAAAACAAAATAATTATAATAAAAAATGAAAATCATAGTAATTTTCTGTCACGTGACTAGGTAAATACCATTAACTGCGCTTAGGTAATAACAAATACTAATTATGTTTTTGTGGGCTAACTTTGTTATAATGCATGATGTAGCTCTCCAAAATTTTCCAACCTTTTTTTCTAAGACAAGTTTCTTATAGTGGACATTTTTCTAGAGATAATCCGATATACTTTATTAGTATGTATTTAGAAACCACCGTTTCCTATTGAAAATTCTGAGAAAATTTTAAATACCGTTTGACATTTAAGGCAAAAACTGAAATGGCCGCAAATTTGTGATATCTTTTTTTTGTTTTGCCAACTCAATGCAGAAGCTGCAAGAAAATCGATTTTGCCTCTTATTTCAGCAGGTAGTTTGGCATAAAATCCATAGGTACTATCAAAACGCTGCCATATTGAATTTGGCGTAAATGCCATTTACCACTTTGATAAATAATGAAAACTTGTGAGAAATCGTTAAAAAAGTAATTTCAAGCTTTATGAAAATATGTAAAAATATATAACAGGATCTTATTTAAAATTCATGTCTCATACTAATTTTTTTATGGATAATCTCAGTTTTTATATGTCATTAATTCACACAAAAATACAAGGTTTTTCTTCAAACAGCAATTGAATAGTGCCTTGTAAAACGATTTCGATGACACCCGATACTCCTTTCGTCCTGTTATTTGTATTACTCCTACTAAATGTTGACATACCTGAGAAAAAGATGGCCTAACAAGGGCCAAAAGCAGCAATAGCAAGACACTGTAGTACTTCGTCATCGTTGTTTCGTTCGTTTGGATGTTTTACATGTTCGTCTACTGAACAAAGCTTATGATGCACATTTCTTTATATACCAAAGTTTGTTTTAGATAATTTATGAGGCAAGAAATTGTTGCAAATATTTGAATAAGCAATACGTATGAGAGATAATATGATACCAATGAGTCACCTTCAGTAGAAATATGGATTAAATTTTGTTTTTGTGTGCTAAATTTGATCTCTGTTTTTTGCCAGATTCATGGAATTTTCCTGATTCAAGAAACTTTTGTTAGATACTGGTGACAGCTACTTAACGTTGTTCAAGGAACTTAGACAATACAGTATTTCTCAGATGCTTTGTGTGGGGTCCCTCAACATTGGAAACTTGTAGAAATGATAATTCAAAAAATGTTTTTTTCACCAGTTAGTAAGACGAATCAAAAAGCTAAATTACGAGCTGCTTTAGCTATCGTAACCGAAGTTATATTTATCAAAGGAAGCAGTACTTACCGCTTTAGGGTTTAATATGAGTAGCGAGATAATCGGATATAGAACCCTCAAACCGTAGCACGTTCAACCATATCAACACGCTTAGCAAGAATGAAATCGGTATGTACGAGATGTCGTAATCAGTTCCGTACCGAGAAGTTAAGTACGCTAGAACCTAAAAATTTATTAGCCTCTCCGCTAAATATTCAAAAGTCGAAACAGAAAATTACCAAATTGTGTCATATCGTTTTAAAGCTGCTTAAGTTTCATACGACCAGTTTTTTTTTATATTTTCCTAATTCGTGGAATGGACAAACATCAATTCTACGCAGGTCACAGATATATCAACTATGAAACACGTATGGTGGATTTTATCAAAATTACAAGGTGACGGTTAAATACCCCTCAAGTCTCCAGTATCAGTTTTCAAAAGTTTCTATAAACTTATTTTTGACGAAAATTGAAATAATACGAGAAAATAGAAAAACAGCCCATGTGAATTTTTAAGGGATTATCTCTGGAACAAAATGGTGAATTTCGTTACAAATCCGCATAACTTGTGCTAGTACATGCCTTACATTTACATAAAGCTTACAGGCATTTCTATAAGCTGAGAACAAATGCAAGGCCCAGCTTATGTGCGTTTATATGCTCACTCAATTGAGAAAAATTACCTTATTGACTTGTCGCCTGACATAACAGACATGCGAGAGCAGTAAATTGTCGAATAGCCCTATAACTTATGTCGTAAGAGTTTTGGAACAAAAGTTATTGGCTTCAATTTTAATAAACACAAAATAATATCAAGTTGCCTTTGGGAACAAAATTGTGTTTACTTACTTGACTGTCAATTGACATTTATTTATTTTGAAGTTTTCGATTTAAGATGTATAATTTAAAAAATAAAAAAAGTATCTACAAGTTGGTTGGGCGGGTACCCAAAGCTAAAATCTGAATATTCCATAATGAAAACATATCACGCAGAACCATGTCTGAATTTCCCAAAAGGTGGAAGACCACGTGCATTTACTGCACAGACGTCAGATAGATTGGTGAGAAGAGCAAAAAATCAGGTTGAAATGCCAACAAGGAGACTGGCTCGTCAATACAGACCTTCTTAGAGCACGATATCGTTGGAATTGAGGAGGAATGGTCTTAGGCCCGTATCGTCAGTCGTCCCTACAATTGTAGGGCGCCTTTATGGCCTCTTTGATTGTCATAGTTTTCTACTTCTCCGTGTCAGAACTCTATTTTGAGGTTATGTCACAAACATCTATATGCATCAAATTGTGCTTGCTTTTGAGTTATATCATGTTTTATCAGCCTAAAATTTCCTACAATTGAAAACGAAAACATATCTTCACAAAAGGAGAGCGCTGACGCTAACACGGGACAAGTGTAATCTAGAATTTTTTGAAGGAGAGAAAGAAGGAGTATGACAATCAAGGAGGCCATGAAGGCGCCCTACAAGGAGGCCATACAATTGTAGGCACGACTGACGATATGGGCCTTAAATATCGAAAGAGACTTAGGCCCGTATCGTCAGTCGTCCCTACAATTGTAGGGCGCGTTTATGGCCTCCTTCAAAAATTTCTAGATTACACTTGTCCCGTGTCAGCGTCAGCACTCTCCTATTGTAAAGATATGTTTTCTTTCTAAATTGTAGGAAATTTCAGGCTGATAAAGCATGATATAACTCAAAAACAAGCACAATTTGATGCAAATAGATGTTTGTGACATAACCTCAAAATAGAGCGCTGACACGGAGAAGTAAAAAACTATGACAATCAAGGAGGCCATAAAGGCGCCCTACAATTGTAGGGACGACTGACGATACGGGCCTTAAGTGCCCTGAATACTTTCAAGCGCAACTCCTTCGTATACGAAGATACTGTCGTCAACTGAGGTATTCTTTGGTAATGGAAAAATCATTATTTTAGATGACAAGAAGTATTTCACTTTGAGCAATTTTGAACGAAAGTGAATTGATGGATTTTATACGTACAACGTAGAGGAATGCCCTCACTGTGTTAAATACAAACATAAAGCAAAATTTTCGGATAAAATCCTTGTCAGGTGCGTAACTTCTAAGAGGGCTTCACTTTCTATGAAAGTTTATCATGGAGGCTGGGAAGCTTAAGATGAAGAACAATTTACGAAAAAGTGAGAGAAATTGACCTGAATTCCGTCCAGGTCCTCACGAGAGACATTCGAAGAAAGTTGCGTCTGGTAGAGCAGAATGGGCCACTCCACATAATTCGATAGTATAGTTTGGTTAACTATTGACTTGTAATTTATGATAACTAGTTAGTATTTAAATAATTTTATTCATTAAAATTAATCCGACAATTTTTTCGGAACATACATTTTCCTGATCACCATAATCAACGCTGCCAAATCTAATGAGCACGCAAAATATAAATACACAGTATGCTTTATATGTTGTTTGCAGTGTTTAAGTTCCTTATTTGACAATGAGTCAGTTACGTTCGCGAAAAGCATTAGTTTTATTGACGCATTGTTGATGTATCGTGCAAACAAATAATGAATACTACTGCAATAATTGCCAACAAAACCAGAAATAGCTTAATAAGTATTAAAAAGTTCATAATTGAAAATCAATGATTTTTCCTGTCGCCTGAAATGAATTCGTTTTTCATCCATAAATTGCATTCATGCCTGTTTTGAAATTTATCGGTTGTTATCCAGGAATCACAATATTAATTAGATACATACCTGAAAATTTAAATTTAACTAATTTAGTATCATTCAATGTTTCAGATTACTTTGAATAATTATGAAATAGATGCAATATATTGCTGTAAATGATCACAGATTATGCACAACAAAATTATTATGAATACATGAAATACAGGGCGGCCCATCCATGTGTGGACCGAATATTACTCATAAACAAATACATTTTGGAAAAATCTATTTTCGGCATGTTAGAAAGGTAAGTTTGGGGTGATATTGTCAGTAGCTAGATAACTTCGATACGGTACTCCCAGTAAAATCAGCGCCTATGTTTAATAGAAGCAATAAGCATGGTAATGCATTATACTGCCAGACCACGAACTGCTTGAAAAAACTGCCAAAAAGTCGAAGAGCTGAGCCGAGACATTATGTGACACTTCCCAGAATAATTTACAGACCTAGCACTCTACTACTAATACCTGTCGTCGCAAGATTTTTTATACGATTAAAAATGCAATAACATAAACGATATTCAACAAGCACTGGATCAATTTTTCGCATGCAAATGTGTTTAATAAAAATTGAATATCTAGATGGCCATAACGTTGGCAAGAAGCTTAAATCATATGGATCCTATATTATCGACTAAACTTAGTTTATTTTGAGTCAAATACGCTCAGGATTCTCTAATAATCTAATAGATCTAACAATATATATATATATATGAAAGCAATATAACTCTTGCCATGAATACCAAATATAAGTTGCACTGAAGTCATGGGTCAGCTAAATTGAACAACGGCTATTAACGTAGCACACCGTCTATTAAACATGCAGAAATTAGCAGGAACTGCAGAACTAACTGCAGCTAAAATGCAACGTTACTTATGCGAAATTATACACTGAACGACCATGGAAACTGTGTAAATATTCATTAAAGGCTATCGGCAGTTACGACACGTACCCACATTTGTTATGATGTGTGATTATAGCCCCGGTAGTTATAAAAATAAATCACTTTTCTAAGCGTAACTTTGGAAAATATGGAGCACCAGGGTAATATACGGTACTTTCCGTACAATACCATGAGAGCTTTTTCACTTACGATGGTGATGAATGAGATATATTTCCTGGCAATTGCAGTATGAAGAATTTCAGCACAGTGCCAGAGTTTGCAAAATTTGAGGAAGCAGAGGAATACTTTGAACTGGTATTTTGATTCTATTCACAGTTCTGCGATGAAGGAGATAAATAATCTCAAGCGGACGTCGTGCCAATTTTGAAATTTCGGAAACACCAGAAAATTTGTGATGTCAAGCCCTATTAAGATTTTCAAATATTTCGTGCCTTGAATATTCCTCAACGAAGCATTATTGTTTGTTTAAGATAAGAGAAGTCATTCCTGAAACGGCACCGATTCCTTAAGGAACGTGTATAAGCCTGACCCTATTAATCTCCTCAAAGTCAATATTTATTGAAGTACCCCTCCTACTATCATGACAGTGACAGAAGAAATGATTTTCTGCTACAATTATATTTTTCGCCCGCTTTTCCTTTGTACCTTCTAGCCCGATCAAAATCCACTTTAATTTGTCCGATTATGAAACGCCCGCCATTTTTATGACTTCAACTTGATTGCAAATTAATTCCGAATGAACGGCTGTTTGCGGTAAGATTTTAATTAGTTTACTTACTACTGGCCTTTCGAACTTTGTTCTCGTTCTCGACTCACTTTCAGAACTTTGCCTGCTTGTTCCTGATTTAATTTCATTCTGTGGAATTATCCTCAAATCCTGACGGCACAAACTTTCATTCAAGCCGGTGGTTAGCAGTTTTCTAATATGAAGAAGAAGTGAGAAAAATATTGAAGTAAGCGGTTTGATTGAAATATAATCATGGTCCAGATAACATGGTAAAGAAACTACATATTTTGATGTAATATTATTTTATAATAAATCTACCATTGTCATTACTTACTAGTTTATTGAAAACTAATGTTGTTTTTTATGATTAACTTGCTTTCTGCTCCGCAGTTTCAACCGCGGAACGTGTAGGTACCGTCACTAATAATGTAATAAAAGGGAAAACGTAATCGGAAGATTATAGAATTATTTAAAAGCAATCTGATATGCTAGTAACAGTTTCAAGCATCCGAAGTCGCAGATAGTGCAAAATAATACATCTGGATCGCTTGACTGCTGCAGGATGAATTGGGCGATGGTATGCCGCGGTGTTGCCGATGTGAAGCTGGCGTTACAGATTTTCCTACTTGACACGACAGTTGATTGCAAAATCGATGATGGATTCGCGGATAACACCATGCCTATAACTTTCCTTGGGTATCAATTAGGAAGTGTACACATTTTCACCACATTGTGCTTCAGAGGTGATGCTGACATATTGGATCACATTTATATATATATATATATATATATATATATTTTGAGACGTGGTCATTGTCGTCTAGACCAGTTAGGTGAAAAATTAAAGCTTCCGCCTTTTGTTGGGTACTTCGACAAAATTTAAGCAAAGAGGACTCTTTATACCTTTTTTAATTCTCTCTAGCTTTCAATGGACTTTGCCATCATCATCAGGAGCTGCAATTACAATGATAACAGTAGCAACAAAAGTGTAAAATGAATTTAGATTGACTCAACTTACAGTAGTATGTGAGGATGTTGCTAATTGTTGTTTACGTATAGGATGAGGGAAACGTCCAGTAACATGGTGAGAGCTGGATAGATTGTACAATGGTCAAAATTATTAAAATATGACAAGAACAAGTTAAAAACAGATTAAAAATTATTTTAAAAAAAAACATTACAGCATTACATCGTGAAGCCACTTGATGATTGCACAAATTAGTGGTCATGGAATAATGAGTGAGATGAAACCCTTTGACAGAAGGCCGAAGGATGTCAATGTCTGTGTTGAAAGATGGAACGAATTGTGGGCGTGTGCCAAAACGTTGCCAAATCACTTCAGATGATGAGATTTTCAGAATTTTATGTAAGAACTTGTTAAACCGACCAGAGGCAGTTGAATAAACTATATTTTAATTAATGGGAATTTAAATTAACAATTATTAATAAATCGTGAGAAGAGAATTATTATATTTTAAGTGGAATGAAATTTACTGGTGGAATCGGCCAAAACACAGATTCTAATTATGGTTGTGAAGAGTTGAAATTTGGGGAGATATGTAAGTTCTCCAATTTTTCGCAGTTTAGCAAATATGAGTAAATGACACTCAGTTGTTTAACATCTGTCTTTTTGTTGATACAGTTGTTATTCATGAAGATGTGGGACATTTCCAGGAATAAACGTTTGGAAAGGTGTTTTTCTTTATCAAGAACTTTGATACTTGTGTAATTCATAGAATGCCCTGTTGTGTTAACATGAGATGCTAGAGCGCATCTTTCAGGATGAAGCCTAGCATCACTTTTGTGTGATGTAATCCTTCCTTTAAGAGATCTGGAGGTCTGACCTATGTATATTTGGTTGCAGTTGTTGCAATTGATGGAGTAGACTGTGTTGGTTAAGCCAAGCAGCGGGACTTTGTCTTTCATTTTTGAAAAAATGCAGTTTATAGTGAGGACGGATTTGCAAGCAATTCGAAAGTTCAAAGGACTGCACAATCTGATCAGCTTAGGGGTCAGTTCCTTGATATAGGGCAGGACAGCAAAACCAGGTCTGGAGTCCGGGTTGGTGCTTGTACTGTTAGGATTGATGTTATTATTGGGAATTACATCAGTTCCGTTATTAGGGGTTGTGCGACTATTACCTGCATCACCAGAGTTCGGCAAAATATTGGAAGGTGAACTAAATAAGATCTTGTTAATCAGACACTTCGGATAACCATTATTGATGAACAGTTTTGATAGTTTACGTAAATTTGAGGTGTGCATCTCAGATAATACCTTCCCGCTGCTTGGCTTAACCAACACAGTCTACTCCATCAATTGCAACAACTGCAACCAAATATACATAGGTCAGACCTCCAGATCTCTTAAAGGAAGGATTACATCACACAAAAGTGATGCTAGGCTTCATCCTGAAAGATGCGCTCTAGCATCTCATGTTAACACAACAGGGCATTCTATGAATTACACAAGTATCAAAGTTCTTGATAAAGAAAAACACCTTTCCAAACGTTTATTCCTGGAAATGTCCCACATCTTCATGAATAACAACTGTATCAACAAAAAGACAGATGTTAAACAACTGAGTGTCATTTACTCATATTTGCTAAACTGCGAAAAATTGGAGAACTTACATATCTCCCCAAATTTCAACTCTTCACAACCATAATTAGAATCTGTGTTTTGGCCGATTCCACCAGTAAATTTCATTCCACTTAAAATATAATAATTCTCTTCTCACGATTTATTAATAATTGTTAATTTAAATTCCCATTAATTAAAATATAGTTTATTCAACTGCCTCTGGTCGGTTTAACAAGTTCTTACATAAAATTCTGAAAATCTCATCATCTGAAGTGATTTGGCAACGTTTTGGCACACGCCCACAATTCGTTCCACCTTTCAACACAGACATTGACATCCTTCGGCCTTCTGTCAAAGGGTTTCATCTCACTCATTATTCCATGACCACTAATTTGTGCAATCATCAAGTGGCTTCACGATGTAATGCTGTAATGTTTTTTTTTTAAATAATTTTTAATCTGTTTTTAACTTGTTCTTGTCATATTTTAATAATTTTGACCATTGTACAATCTATCCAGCTCTCACCATGTTACTGGACGTTTCCCTCATCCTATACGTAAACAACAATTAGCAACATCCTCACATACTACTGTAAGTTGAGTCAATCTAAATTCATTTTACACTTTTGTTGCTACTGTTATCATTGTAATTGCAGCTCCTGATGATGATGGCAAAGTCCATTGAAAGCTAGAGAGAATTAAAAAAGGTATAAAGAGTCCTCTTTGCTTAAATTTTGTCGAAGTACCCAACAAAAGGCGGAAGCTTTAATTTTTCACCTATATATATATATATATATATATACGTATATATATATATGTATATACAGGGTGACTTCGAAGTTGAGTCATTTATTTTAACAGTGAGTAGATCTGATCGAAAGAAATGTTTTTTTCCTTTAACATTTTTCTGGTAAAATTAAATCAACAAAGTTATAGCCCTTTAGAAGTTTGAGTACCGCCCTGTCTCAATAATAATATTATGTGCTCATGTTTGGCAACAACGGATATAATCCGCCTTATCGGTTCATCGCATCGGAAACAAAAAAGCGAAAGAATTTGAAACTTTTATCACGATGTCAGTCAATGTATCAGTCGGTAACGCGTGAGTGAATAGTGGTGTTTTTGCGTGGCTCAAACGAAATAAAAAATGGAACATGTTTACGAAAATGCTGAACTTGTGGACATGATTCTTATTTACGACTGGGGGAGTCTTTACAAAATGCTCGCTCACGGATTTATGCGAATCGGTTTCCCAATCGAGTGCAACCAACCCCTCGTGCCTTTGTTAATGTAGTACAAAGGGCTCGTGAATCAGGTGACTTAAGACCTCACAGGGGAGGGCATGCCGGTGCTCGAAGAGCGCACGATCAAATACAGGTCCGCACTGAAATACTTGTTGGGAGGATACTTTATAAAACAAGGTAACAATTTTTTTTCATTTTTACACACATATTTTGGTTTATCTTCCTTCTACAATCATTATCTGAAAATTAATGACAACTTCAAAGTCACCCTGTATATATATATACAGGTTGTTTCAGTTTATTGTTGCATAACTTTAAGATTCGATAGAACTTTTAAAATCAATGCATAAAGTCTATATAAACATGGGCCGAAAAATGCGTGGCTTCCGATATACAGGGTGTTTAAGTTTACTTTCTAAAATAATTTTTTTTAAATATTTGGAACAATATTTGATGTATAACAGTGAAAATTGGTATACAAGGGTTTTTTGGTACGACAAAACGAACCATGGGTATAGTTTCACTGTAGCCGCTAGAGGGCGCTCTCTACTGTACCTGTAGTGTATTAAAATGACCGAAAAATTTTTCTTAGTACAATTTTTCCTTTTTGAATAAAAAAACTGATTCTTCGCACTTTTCAACATAAAAAAGCTCTCGTGAATTTTCGTTATAGTTAGCCGTTTTTGACATATTTCGATTTTTAAGGTTCGATGCATTTTTAATTATACATGATAAAATAAC